CTCACTTTCTGGGAGCCATAAATATATCCTTGTCTGGGGGAGAAAAATGTGTGTGTGTGTGTGTGTGTGTGTGTGTGTGTGTGTGTGTGTGAACATGCTGTCCATCAGGGTTTATGGGCAATGCTGAGCTCCTGGCCATGGATGCCTCCCTTCTAGAGCTCTGCTTAGGAAGCAGTCTTCTCAAGTATTCACATGTTCACATATGTGCAAGCATTTCAGTGAAGTACAAGGAAAGAGGGAAAAATGGGATGGGGGTGTGTCCAAAGAGAGCCCAGAGATGGAATCCGGAGAGCAAGGCCAAAAGCACAGTGAGAGGACTTGGGCTGAGAGAGTGGGGCTGGAGGAGGGTGAGAAGGGCAATATTAATGGGAAACTTTTGGCTACTACAGAGGACACCAAGAGACATGGGAAAGGGAAGGGCCCATATGGGCCACTGTCAGTTGCATGCTGTCTGACACCTGTAGTCTGCAAGCTGTTGCAGTAGGGAATGACCTATGGTATGGGAATGACTGTACAGTCAAGAACCTGCAGCCAGGACCCTTTCAGAGTCCAGTTCTGCTGAACCCACTTAGGCCTACACCCAGTCAGCCCAGATTTATCACCTGCCCCTTCATAGCCAACCCTACCTTCCTGAATCCTGTAGAGTAGCCAGGACTAGCAGGGACAATCTGCGCCTCAGAGGTGTGCCTTGCATGAACAATCTCAGTCCCCAGAGAGAGACGGGAGCTGTGCACTTGTGTGACACCACAGTAGCTTGACCTAACTCTAACCCACATCAACCCAACAGCACTGAAAATGAACTGTGGGCTCTAAGATCTGCCCCTCTCCAAGCCTGGCTCAGATGGGCAGGGACCAAGCCACCTGCCCATCCAGGGAATTCATCAAACATGGGCTGGGCTGCATTCTCAGGTAGTTGCATTTGGCGGGCAGAGTGGGAGGCAGTTTAGAGCAGAGCTTTGTTCCTCAACACCAGGACTTTAGAGACCATTGAATGCCTTGGATTGGATCCAGGAGCAGTGGCCAGTGAACCCTCCTGTTTTCTTTCTCTACAGGAAGTGGCAAGACCTCCAGGCTCTAGAGAGAGAGTACAGAGCTGGGTTCTCTTCCCTGCCTGGGCCAGACTGACCTTGAATTAGAGAGAGAGAGAGAGAGAGAGAGAGAGAGAGAGAGAGAGAGAGAGAGAGAGAGAGAGAGAGAGAGAGAGAGAGAGAGAGAGAGAGAGAGAGAGAGAGAGAGAGAGAGAGAGAGAGAGAGAGAGAGAGAGAGAGAGAGAGAGAGAGAGAGAGAGAGAGAGAGAGAGAGAGAGAGAGAGAGAGAGAGAGAGAGAGAGAGAGAGAGAGAGAGAGAGAGAGAGAGAGAGAGAGAGAGAGAGAGGCTGCAGCTCCACTGTTGTGGCAGCCAGAGTGAGACAGGAAAGGATGTGAAGGGACACGGCCACAGCAGACTGCAGGACCAGTGTGGGCTAGACAGGACAGGATAAGAGATGGAGAAGCACCTGCCTGCCTTGTATCAGCCAGTACTATCCCTGGCCCCCCACTGGCCTACACACCACCAGCTGTCCCACTATCACCAGTGAGAAAGCAGACACTGGAGGGGGTTCTGTGTGGGCAAGGGCTCACTCATGCACACCATTGGCAGGACTGCTAGGGGAGAGCTGCCCTGGGCTGGGAACAAGGAGGGAAAAAGTAGGGGATAGCAAAGATATAGAGGGGAGACAGCCAAGGCAGGGCCAGAGTCAGGGAAGCCACCTTCCATCTCCAGAGTGGAGAACTCAGCCCCCACTGTGCTGTCTCGGGTTCCCTCCTGTACTGTTGGCAGTGGGCAGTGTGCAAGGCCTGTGAACAGGAGATAAAGAGTTCAGGCAGAGTATTTTTTCTCACTAACTGTGGATTTGTGTGTTTGTTCAGCTGGTGGCTCTGATAAGCCCTATTCTGCCAGATAAAAGCCAAGCAGCTATGAGGCAGGACCTGGGGAGGAGTTGTCATAAAGGGGTTTTCCTCCTCTCTACCCCCCTCCCCAGGAAGCCCAGGCAGAGAAGGGAGTCAAGGCACTCTGGCATGCTGTCCTAGGGCCTAGCCCCTGGTGTCTAGGGATGTCCAAAGCAGGCCCAGACCTTGAGGCAGGGCATCCTAGAAGAGCCTACCACATAGGAAAGCTGGTCACTGGTTCCCATCACTGGATGGCAGGATGCCTTTTAGTCCCAAAGCCTGTCTGGGAGCCTGGAGACCCCCTTCCCATGTCTGTCCAGGATGTGTCTGTGAGCTGACAGGGTATTAACATCCCTTACTGTCCAAAGCACCCTTGGCCCTGTTGGACAGGAGTCCATTTTTGCTGAACTGGTAGAGTTCTTGGGCATGGATGTGGTACTAAGGGCTCCGGCTACCTTTCAGCAGAGCCACAGTGCTGCCAGGTCCCCAGCGTCATTGCCCTTGCCCGTCCATGACATGGGCAGGGAGCACGAATGCTTAGGTTAAGGCAGACCTGCAAGACCCTGGCTTGCAGTTGCCTGGGCTGCAGGGATGACTCCCTGCCCGTGAGCCTGGGCCCAGACTTCCAGTGTTTCTGCCTTTTGTCCTGGAGGAGAGCTGAGCGTGTTGGGGGCTGGCGGTGGCAGCATTGTAGCCGCATTGGCTGGGGCCGCCAGCCATAAGATGGCTGCCAAGGTCTAAAATGGCTGCCAGCAGCACTCGGAGCCGCGCCTAGAGGTGCGTGGCAACTGGCCTCATCCACCCAGCCTCTCCTGCTTGTTCCTTTACATTGAGCTGATAGTAATAACAGCAGCACCCTTTTGGGCAGTGTCCTGGTTTAGAAGGATTTCCTGTCTGTCGCGCTCTCTTGGAACCCCATTTGTCTCTGCCTCAGTCACTGGCGCACCTCCATCTCTTTGTCATGTTCTCTACTCTTTCTGTCTCTTGGCTGGATATGCATGCACCCACGTACACATATGGGCACACAGCTCTCCTGCTCTCCTTGGCCATTTGCAGTGGGCCAGCAGCACTCTTGTAGAGTTGACTCTGACCCCCCTCAGACTGACCAGGCAGACATTCTGAAGGTCTGTGTCTTGTCCCTGGCACACAAAGCTTTGGAGGGCTTTGGGGCTGAGTTGGTTCTAGGATGAGACCATGGCAGTCTCCTTAGCAGCAGAGCCTGTGCCACATATTCCTTGGGTTTTGCACACCAGTCTTAAGGTTGCTTCCTTTCTCAACTGCATATTGAGGTAACCTCTCAGTTTAGGGTCCAAGGAGGTCCTAGCATAGGCCACCTGCCACCTATGCCCCCTGGCTTCCACTTGGACTGACTTGGGCTTGAATAAGACACAGAGAGCCAGAAAATTCCTGCCGTGTCATCCAGGGTATGCAGCTAGGGTGTATTGGAGGAGGTCCCAGGCTCCTTCTGTAGCAGAGAACACCACTGACAAAGAGACGACCTTCGTGGTATGTAAGAATATACCCCAAATTAAAGGAGGGTGACTTGTGAGTACTTTCCTCATAAACCTATGCTTTCTTGATTTATAGCAAAATTTACTATTATTTTTTAGAATGAAAAAAAATGGCCCAGTTTGGTGGTATATGCCTTTAATCACAGCACTCACAGCAGGTGGATCTCTGTGAGTTCAAGGCCAGCCTGGTCTACATAGTGAGTTCCAGGTCAGCTGGGGCTACAGAGAGACCCTGTCTCAAAAAGACAAAAAAATATTTTTTTTTTTTTAAATTGAAGGGTTGGAGCTATATAGCTCAGTGGTAGCGCTCTGGCTTCACAGGAATGAGGCCCTAGGTTCAGTCCCTAGTAAGCTGCCAAGAAAAAAAAAAAAAAAAAAAAAAAAAAAAAAAAACAAGATAAAAGAGGAGGATAGCAGGGGCTGAAAGCATGCTACCTTCTACCCATCACACAATGAGATGGCCAGGAGCCTGTCCAGTGCCCTCAGCCACAGGCATGCAGGGCCTTGGCTCTCAAAGCAGGGCCCACGAGGCCAGCACTTAGCTCTCTCCTTCCCTCCTGGAACCAGCAGGTTGCACATGAAGGCACTGTGAGTAAATCCCAGGAGGCTGGGCTACTCTGAAGAGCACAGCAAAGCCTTGGCCAGAACCAGGGCAGTATTCAGATACCAACCCCTGTGGTCCTTATGAGCAGCTGAGTCTTCACCAAGTGCCGTACAACCTGCCCCAGCATCCCCACCCTCTCACCAGCTGTCATGCCCAAGCAGGCATTCTGGAGGTCCCCCATCTTGCCCCTGGCTTTGGCCGACCTGGATGGAAAGGGGGCGGGGTGGTGCTTTCCCAAGCTCAGCAAAATATTCACATACACACTCCACCCTGCCCCCAGCCCTCTGTGAGCTCCCACTGCACAATAAGCCCTTGTCTTGGGGCTCCCTCTGAGCAGCTGTGGCAGTGGGGCATGAGACAGCCTAGACAGGCTGGCACAGAGTGGGCAGTGGCTGGGCACATCCCCCCTCCAGGTTGCCAGGCACTACCTGCAGGCATAAAGGTGAGGTGGGGGAGGTATGGCCCTATAGAAATGGCTTTAATAAATGAAGTTTGGGATGGGGATGCCCCTCTGGAGGAGGGAGAGCTCTGGGGTCTGCCCTACTATGGACAGTGCCCATCACTGGCTTCTTTCCTTGGTGCCCTCCTAACTTCAGACTGTAGGCCAATGCTACTGACCCATGACACCTCTGCCCCTCAGAGCACATTGCAGTCTCTGGAGAGTTTGGTCTGTCACAACTAGGATGCTACTAGTATCTAGCGGGCGGAGGTCAGGGATGGCACTGTATATACTGCAGTACCCAGGACTTCCCTCCCCCTTCCACGAAGACAATCCAGTCCAAATGTCAGGAGTAAGGTACATTCTGTCTTCCCTCCTCTCTGTGTAGGTTGACCCCAGGGCATGGGTTAGGCGGTCTACTGTCCAGGGTGGGTACCCAAGGCTGAAGAGTATCTGCTTAGCCAGTGTTTATGCAAAGCCTTACTCCTGACCCATCCATACTTTTGTGTCTTCTACAGAATCCGGACAATCAGACAGTTCAAACCAGCAAGGAGATGCAGACATCAAACCACTGCCCAACGGTCAGTGCCCTACCCCACCTCCCCTTCCTCTTCACTCATCTGTCCAGTGACTTGGGCTGCCTTCAGAGGAGAGGGGCACAGCTCTCTTCAACAACAGGGAGTCCTGAAGGGAGTGGGTCAAGCAGGGAAGAACTCTGGGGAAATAGCAGCAGCCCACCCAGCCTGACTTCACTCATCAGTTCTTCTCCCTCTCCAGGGCACTTGAGTTTCCAGGACTGCTTTGTGACTTCTGGGGTCTGGAATGTGACAGAGTTGGTGAGAGTATCACAGAGTAAGTGTGTCCTTCTGTCAGGTCCAGGGACCAGAACTAGAGTGAAAATCTATGAGGTCAAAGCTTAAAAAACTGGGATCAGAGAAGTCCTGTCTTGGGGAGGTAGCATTGGAACCCAAACACACAGGAGTCTGGCACAAAGTATCCACTGGAAGATTCTAGGCAGCCCCCCTTTCAATCAGAATTAGACAAGTAGTCAGGACTATCCCACAGAGGACTTCAGTGGTCTAGTACTGAGACTTCACAGGGCCCTGTACTGATGGTGTCTTTTGGGGACTCTCTGCCCCTTGAGTCCTAGGCTAGGAGAATAGAGACTCCTGTCTCTAATTTCTGTTGCATTGGGGCGGGGAACCCACAACCAATGGCTTTTCCCTCATAACCCCCAGCCGCAAAAGAGTTCTCCCCAAACATCCTAGGCAGCCCACCTTCCCTGTCCTGTGGGACCACAGTAGGCTCCCTGCTGGTCTTCTGGGAAGTGGCTCATAGCACCTAAGCTGGTCCATAGGGCTTGCAATGGCTCATTCCAACCTCACCAGCTTCTCCTTCTTCCCAGCTCCTGTTGCAACAGCATCAGGACCCAACTTCTCGCTGGCAGACCTGGAGAGCCCCAGCTACTACAACATAAACCAGGTGACCCTGGGGCGGCGGTCCATCACCTCCCCTCCTTCTACCAGGTAAGCCAGTACCGTGGCTTCCTCATCTCCTTGACCCTCTCCCTGTAGCTGGAGCAGCTGTGCTTCCTGGGTGGGGATGCTTTAAGATGCCATCATGCTCTGCCACCCATTGAGCTTCCTGCTTCCTGTTGTCATGAAGTACTTGGCACTGGGGACCCAAACCCACATAAGGCCTGAAAGTGGGGATCAGAGAAAACCTGTCTTAGGGAGGTAGCTTTGAACCTAGACACAGGGACTGTATGAGGTATCTACCTAGAAGCTTCCCTTTCAGTCAGAATTGGACAAGTTGTGAGGGCTGTCCCACAGAGGACTTCAAAGACCAGAGGAGGCCTTTAAATTCATCTAGGGTAGTGGGAACCACTGGAGGGCATACTGGGATGTGTGTTCCAGAAAGCACCCTCCAGCAATAGCATATGTGGGCAGGGCTGGTAGCAGAGAAGCTATTTTACCAGGCTGAACAGGTAGGGTGATGTGTAAAGAGATACCTGGGAGGTGGAGACAGCTCAAGGTGAAGGCCAAAGTCTTGCAGGGGACAGTTGAGTCTTGCCCTTTCTGAAAAATAATTTTATTTATTATTTTTATATGTGTGTGTGCTTGTATGAATTTATGTTCACATGAGTGTAGGAGCCCCCTGGAAGCCAGAGGAGGGTATCAGATCCCCTGGAAGTGGAGTTAGAAGGGAGTGCTCTTCACCACCGAGCCATCTCTCTAGCCCTAAATTCTGTACTTTTTAACTGGAACATTTTTGTTCACCATGAGGTTTTTAGTTTTGATTTTTTTTTTAAAGGCAAGATCTCACTATGTAGCACTGGCTGACTGGAACTCTGTATGTAGACTACTCAGGTCTGGAATGCACATAGATCTGCCTGCCTCTGCCTCCCAAGTCCTGGGATTAAAGGTGTGTACTACCATGCCTGGCTCATTTTGATTTTTTTTAATCTTACATTAAAATATTCTTTTTGTTTGGTTGTTTGTTTGTTTTTGAGACAGACTGAATTGGCTGGCCTGTAATTAATTCACGGCTATCCTCCTGCCTCAGCCTCCCTAGTGCTAGGATTACAAGTATGAGCCACCACTCCTGGCTTAAAGTATCTGTGCTTGATGATAAGTTTTGTGGCACTGTCCAAGGCTAATAGGAAATAGTGGGTGGGACATATGTGCAAATGAGGGTTTTACCCATTTCTTTTTTAAAAAATATTATTTTTATTTTATGTGTATGAGTATATTGCGTGCATGTGTGTAAGTGTACCTGTGCTGTGCAGTGCCCAGGGAAGTCAGAAGAGGGCTCCAGATCCCCTGGAACTGAAGTTACAGATGGTTGTTAGCTGCCATGTGGGTACTGGGAACAGAACAAGGGTCCTCTACAAGAGCAGCCAGTACTTTTAACCACTGAGCCATCTCCAGCCCCACTCATTTCTTTAATGACCCATAAGTGGCTTGAGGAAGAGTAAGTTTAGAGCTGCTTCACTCCAGGGAGCATCCACAAATGCTGCTGTGGACTGGCATTTGCCAGTGTACAATTCCTGGGCCTGAACACCTGGTAGCTACGTAGAACCTCAGCCTGTTCAATTCTTTCCTCCTTCCCCAGCACCACCAAGCGCCCCAAGTCCATTGATGACAGCGAGATGGAGAGCCCCGTTGATGATGTGTTCTATCCTGGGACAGGCCGCTCCCCAGCTGCTGCCAGCAGCCAGTCCAGCGGATGGCCCAATGATGTGGATGCAGGTATGGGCATGACAGTCCCCACCCAGACCTAGAGCAGCCTGTACTTCCCCATGGTCTCTGCTGTCAGGTGGTACTAATGGCTGTCACTCCTGATATGAGGATGGCAGACTAGGCTGAAGGAGTTGGGTGACGAGTTGGACTCCTGAGTAGGTAGCAGGCCTGTAAGATGGTGGGGCAGATTGCTATCAACCCTCCAGTGCCCTTCAGTTAGGGGCATAGCCTCCTCTTCACAGCCTCCTTGCCTATAGAGAGCTGCCCAGCCCTGTGATTCTCCTGGATTAAAGCAGTTTCCCAACTGGATCTAAGTAGCATTTTCAGGCTTAAGGCTTTCTGAGACAGGGACTGCTTCATTGTAGTCCCTGGGAGGTGCTGAGTAGCATCCCTAGTTTCACCACCAGATGCCAGTAGCAAACATCTAACCCCTGATTTCTTGGTTGTTTTGTTTTGAGACAGGGCCTTGCTATGTAATAGCCAGGCTGGCCTCAAACTCTGGATTCCCCCTTATCTTAGTCTTCCAAATGCTGGGATTATAGGATTACATCACCACCTCCGGCCACTCTGTTTGAATGACCATAAATGTCTGCAGACATTGCCAAATGCCCCCAGGGAGACAGATTTCAGGTGGGCTAATCCTGGCCTAGGGACCCAGCTTTACAAAGAGGCTCAGTACTCAGGGTAGAATGGGCAGAGCTATCTTGGGAAGCTAGCAAAGGGCAGAGGTTCTGAAGAGCCTGGAGGAAGCCAGCTCACATCTTTTCCATCCTCCCTGAGCACTCCTTCCTGTTGAGCCACCTGCACCCTTAGGATTGACTGATGGTATAGACAGCCCAGAAGCCCAAGAGGAAGAATATGTGCCTGTGTTTGTGACTAACTTCAGGCAACCCCTGCCCGACATACTGTGGATGTCCTTGAGTCTTGGGACCTATGAGTGTGTAGACCTGTGCTTACTTGCACGATGTGCACATAGAACTCACCTGCTCTAGAAAGGACTGGGGACACTTTGGTTGGGATTGGGGACTGGGCTTCATTGTCTGATCCAGGGTCTGTTGGCAGCTTGTCTGGTAGAGGCTGGGCTGAGGGAACCATTGCAGGCCCTGGCTTTGGCTCTGGCTCCATGCAAAGAGAGCAGGCAGAGCTCACCTCCTGGTCTTGGGCTGAGGGAGTGAACTCGAGACCTTCTAGAGCACCAGAGGAGACTGAGTTGTATGAGAAGACACCCCAGCATGGCTTGGAGGTGCCTCCCAGGTTCTCCTTGTGGAAGCCTGGGCCTGGGCCAACGTAGCCCACACATGACCCTAGCAAAATTTCTGGAGAAGGAGTTGAAAACTAGAGGATGCTACGTCCAAGGTTTCAATCAGGCTTGGTCTCAGGCAGGTGACATCTTCTGTAAGGACTACTACTAGGGTGCCTTTTAGGCCTGCCCACTGCCACTGACTCCTGGGAAGAGGACTTCCAGACCTTTCTATGCAGGCCTGCTCCCAAGAGCCTCCTCTAGTCTTCCGCTGTCTCTGCTCTTGGCTGTCTGCTCTCGTGCCTGTCATTTCTGTTGCTTTGGCAGTCCTACCATTCACAGCACCCCCAACATCCTCTTGCAGCACCCCCAAGCTCCCTTATTCCCCCCCACACACTTGTCGTTGTTTTCCTGGACTCGACAAATAGCCAATTAAGCAGCTCAGCTGCAGGACAGGAACAGCTGGGTAGGCACTGTGCAGCAGCAGGGACAGCTGTGCACAGCTGGTGGGGCACTCTCCCCTCCCCACCATGCCAGCTATCAGGTGGCATACAGCTGCCACCAGATAACACCTCTGCTGGCGGGCTGGGTGCTCACCCTTCCCCCACTGCTTTTCTCTAGTTAAGACTGGCTCTTGTTTCTCTGTTCTGTAGCCACCCCTCCCCAACACCCCACGAAAACTGACTAGGTTTATCCCTCAAAAATGGCAGCTCTAGATTACCCAGGCTCTACCTTACCTGGCCAGCCTGGGCACAACCTTGAAGCTCAACCCACAACAGGAGATAAGCTTCCCCCCAAAAGGAACCCACTAAGAGCCTGTTTCTCAGACTGTCATCTTTTTTTAAAAAAAAATATATATTATTATTTATTTATTTATTATTTATTTATTTATTTATTTATTTTTTGGTCTTTTTGAGACAGGGTCCCTCTGTAGTCCCAGCTGTTCTGGCACTTACTATGTAGACTAGGGTGGCCTTGAACTCACAGAGCTCCACCTGCCTCTTGTCTCCCGAGTGCCAGGATTAAAGGCGTGTGCCACCACACCTGGCTATTATTTTTATTTTTATGTATATGAGTGTATTGCCTGCATGTGTGTGTGAGTGCACCTGTGTGTGATGCCGCAGGGGTCAGAAGAGGGCTTTGGATTCCCCTGGAACTGGAGTTAAGGCCAGTCTGAAGCTTCCATGTGGGTGTTGGGAATACAGCCCCAGTCCTCTTAACTGCCAAGCCACCTCTCCAGACCCTCAGACTGTCATCTTGATGGTGTACCTACTAGGCAGGGATGCTGTTGGCTGGCACCTAGAGTCAGAGCCCTAAAAGGGTCTTTTCTGTGCTCCTGTCTCCTGCCAAATACTACCCTCGTCTCTGGTTCTGTCCTCAGGGTCTTCCCAGCCCTCTAGTGCCTGTCCTTGTTCTGTGGAATGTTGCATCCCTCCAGAGGGCCTCTAGCTATGTTTTCCCTTCCAGAAAGGGAGAGCTGGCTCTTCACACCAGAGGTCTAGCTCAGGATATCTTGCTGTAGATCCCAACTTGTCCTTCCAGCCACTTTCACTGCCCACAACTCCTGGCTCTGGCTCTCATGGACTCCTCGTGCATTCCTTCTCAAATCTTAGCCTGTAATATATCTCTTTTATTCCCTTATCAATTGTCAAGGGGTAGGATGTCCTCCTTTGCTACCCTTGCCCAGCACATTCCACCCCTTGTTACCAGGGGCAGGCCTCATTTTCCTCTTCAGAAGTACCCTAAGGCCAGGCCACGGAAGGAGCCCTGGAGGCAAAAATGGGTGGCAGGAGTAGAGAAGGGGCTACAGGGGCTGAGGAGAGATGGAGCAAGCTGCTCTGCAGGCTTCCCACATCCCTGTCCCTGCACCTACCCCAGCCAGCTAAACCTGCCTGTGTTGCTGCTTCCTCCCCCCAGGCCCGGCTTCTCTAAAGAAGTCAGGAAAGCTGGACTTCTGCAGCGCCCTCTCCTCTCAGGGCAGCTCCCCGCGCATGGCTTTCACTCACCACCCGCTGCCTGTGCTTGCTGGAGTCAGACCAGGTGAGAGATGAAGGGGGGCTGGAGGGGGCAGTTTGGGAGGTGGCAGTGCCAAGGAGTAGCTGACCAGGTGTAAGGGCCAGGGCTCACTGAGTGACAGTTCCAGGCTCCTGGAGAGGGCTGCAGCACAGCAGTCAGATGGCATAGGACAGACAGCATACCTCTGAGAGCCAGACTGGCCCCTGGGCCTGCTCTTTTGGTTCCCAGGCACCCTACCACATACTTCTCAACTCCCATTGTAAGCTTGTGTTGGATGCATATGTGCACATGCTTCCTGGGAGCTGCATGCAACCTCCCCTTCCCACACCTACTCTTCCCCCAGTGCCTAGCTGAGCCAGGTTTCTTTCCTAGTGGATTGGAAATGACACTGCTCTGCAGTCCAGGCTCCTGTTGTGTGTCCTGGGGCAAGTGGTTACCTTCTCTGGGTTTCTTTGCCCTTTTCCAGAAGTGAAGGGTTGGGCCTAGGGCACAAGAGGCTCCTGGTCTGCTTGCCAGGGAAAGGAGCTGTCCTGCTGCTTTGAGGGTACATCTTCAGCCCAGGGAGAAGATGCTGGAGACAATACCTGGGTCTTCCTGAAAGGTGGGATCAGGCAGAGGCAGGTGGGAATCTAGCTTCTCTTACTTGCTGTTTCCTTCCAGCAGCACCCATCTGGCAGCAGAGGCCTGGCTTTTGTTTACACAGGGCCTTGTGTCCCTGTGTGCTGCTTGTGCCTCTTGAGCAGGCTTTTCTTCTGTAGGACACAGAACAGGGAGGCTTACCTCCCAGCTTCTTCCTTGGGGCCTCCTGGCTGGGAGCCCAGAGGCAGCCAGCACTGGGGCTGGGTGTGGTGGCCACAAGGTGGGGGTGGGGAGCCCAAGCCTTCAAGCAGGCAGCTGGGAGGGCAGCAGGCTCCACTCCGCTGCACTCCATTTTTATGAACTCCAGAGAGAAGCCAAGTTTCCTCAGCTCCTGATGAAACTAAGAGCAAGAGTGAGCTGATTGGAACCAGACGGGAGGGGGTAGATTTAGGGAGGTACTGAGGCCTGAGCAGGGGAGGAATTGTGAGTGCTAGGATGCATGTGCTAGGAAGATGGGGCAGCATATGAAGGAGGCCTGTGCACTCCCCTTAAACTTTGGAGTTAGGAGAGTGTATGTGGCCGGGCGTGGTGGCACACGCCTTATAGTCCCAGCACTTGGGAGGCCGAGGCAGGTGGATCTCTGTGAGTTCAAGGCCAGCCTGGTCTACATAGTGAGTTCCAAGACAGCTGGGGCTACAGGGAAACCCTGTCTCAAAAAGACAAAAAAGACACACACACACAAAAAGAGTGTTTGTGTGCTAGGTTCCCATCCTGCACAGGCTCAGGACCTGTCATTCCTACCATTGTCCAAAGTTTCTGGAGCCATCAGACTCCTGTTGTCTGTCCAGCAGGCTCACACTCAGGGCAGGGCAAGTGAGGTACTCACCAGGGGTGGAAAAAAAAAGAGGGGGGCCAAAGCTCAATCCTCAAGATAAGTAGTATCTTAATGTACTGTTTTTAAAGAAAAAAAAAATTGTAGCCAGGCATGGTGGTGCATGCCTGTAATCACAGCACTTGGGAGGCAGAGGCAGGTGGATCTCTGTGAGTTCAAGGCCAGCCTGGTCTACACAGTGAGTTCCAGGACAGCTGGGGCTACAGGGAGACACTGTCTCAAAAAGACCGAAAAAAAATTTTTTTACAAAACATAATGACAAGGCTGGGCATGATGGCAAAGGCCTACAATCCCAACACAGGAGGATGAGGCAGGAGGATCACGAAAAAAAAAATTCTAACAGTTTAGACAGACAGCACCCAACCCTGCACTTGTAGGGTGTTGTTTACCTGTCTCATCTAACCCCCACTTCAGGTCCAGTCAAACTTCATTTACAGAAACAAGCAACTGGTCCTCAGGCACTAATCTGCCAGTTTATTGTTGTTGTTGTTATTATTATTAGATTTTGGGTTTTTTTTTGAGACAGGGTCTCACTATATAACCTGCTAGTCTCACAGAGGTTATCCTATCTGCCAGTCTCTGCCTCCCAAGTGCTGGCATTAAAGGCATGTTCCATCACATCCGGTTATTATTAATTTTTATTGCATTAAAATGTCACTGATTTCAGCCAGGCATGGTGGAACACACCTTTAATCCCAGCACTAGGGAGGCAGAAACAGGTGGACCTCTGTGAGATTGATACAAGCCTGGGAGAACTGCCTCAAAAACTGAAAAAGGAAAAAAGCAAAGTTATTGACTGAGGGTTTGTGTTTGTTGTGGAGATTTTGTGTGTACCGAACACAGTGCCTTTCCCCATTCCACCTGCCCCTCAGGGTCCTCACCCTTTCCATTACCACTTCCCTCATCCTCCCCTGCATGGCTGTCCTGACCCCTTTTTCTTTCTCCTGCCTGTGTGCACACAGGGAGCCCCCGGTCCACAGCATCAGCTCTGCACTTCCCTTCCACATCCATCATCCAGCAGTCAAGCCCTTACTTCACACACCCAACTATCCGCTACCACCACCACCACGGGCAGGACTCGCTGAAGGAGTTTGTGCAGTTTGTGTGCTCGGATGGCTCGGGTCAGGCCACCGGACAGGTGAGTCCAGAGGGCCCTGGAGCCTCCCTGTAGCGTCTGTCTGTCTGTCTGTCTGTCTGTCTGTCTGTCTGAGGGCTCATAAGGAGAAGGCCAAAAGCCAGGAGCCCACCTGGGGCTGGATCAGCAGGGAATGAATAGTACCTACTTTGTGGTCAATTTTAGTGGGCCAGGGTCCAAGCATGGTGTTAGGGCTACCCGTCTGTCATGGTCTGGAGAAGTAGGATCAGTGACTGAGCCCTTCCTGCTGCAGCACCTTACCTTTCCTGTGGAACCTTGGTTACCAGCATGAGTGAGCCTGTGATTGGTCAAATCTAGGCCTTGGACCTCCCCACACCTCTCCCAACCCTCTTAAAACTCAGGGGTGCAAGGATTTGACAGCTGCTGGACCTACGTTTGTCTGACTCATCACTGTTGTCTGATTCATGACTGATTTGGGCTATTTATTTTCTGTGGTATGTGGCTGCCCTGGACTCTGTGGGAGGCATCTCTGGCCTCCATCTGACAGATATCAGGAGCACCCATTTCTCCTCAGTTATGGCTGTCAAATCTGTCTTCCACTTTTCAATGGGCCCCACATGAGAAGTCTATGTGGAGAGAAGCCCTAATTCATGGAGATGTTGTGAAAATTCCTATGCCAGAACTCTTAACAGAGGACCTCAGGACTGTTCTGGCTCCAGAGCAAAGTCCACAACCCTGGAGGACAGAGAGACTCCCTGTGGAGCCTTTCTCCATTAGCCAGTCCCAAGACCTGGTCCAAACTCAGTACACTCAGTTAAGGAATTATCTAGGAAGATGGTGGGCTAGAGATAAGTCTTAGGCAGTCTCTAGGGGCCATTTGGGTTGGGACATGATGGTCTATATCTCTGATAAGTTCTGTAGCCAGAGAGCTTGAAGAATCCCTAGTTCCTCTCTTAGCCAGGATGGGAGGTCTGGAAGCCTGATGTTAGAAGCCTATGGGGAGGATATTCAAGGAGCTTTGGAAAGCTGATTTGGGAAATGTGTTCTAGACATCCACACCAGAGGCAGTCCAGGGGGGTCCTCTATTGCTCATGCCGACTGCCTCAGTGGGCTCTGGGAAGATGGACATTTGCTGGTGCTGGAACATGACTAGGGGTCTTTGCCTTTAGGCTCACAGTCCATCCTGTGAATCGGTCCTGTTCCCTCCAGCTTGCTTCCCCCCACCCCTCCGCTGTTCTCATCTTTTCCCCTCTTTGCCCCACAAGGGTTTCTCTTGCTGACTCCCCTGATCCTCAGCACAACGGTGATCTTTCTGCTTTTCTGGATAAGTTCTGTCCAGTATCAAGGGGTGGGACTGACCCCTAATCACCACTTCAGAGATACAGCCGAGTCCACAGGAGTTTCTAGCCTATATCCCATCGCCAAAGGTCCTGAAGTCAGCACCGTAGAGCAGAGGCACACCACCTCACCTGCCTTTTCACCAGCAGAGGTAGCAAAGCTTGGAACACAGATGAGCAGGGCCTGGCAGCCATCCCTAACGTAGGACCCTGGAGAGTCAGTTCAGCCCCTCCCACCTGGGGGCTGGGTCCTGAGCCTGTCCAGTGTCATGACTGTCTAACATGGGGACTCACTTTGCCTAGAGTCCTTTTCTCAAGATAGGTACTTGTTCCAGGAGATTGCAGACAGGATGTAATCAGACACCTTAATTCAGCTGGCCAGCAGAGTATCGCAAGCTTGGGCAGCAACCTTTCAGAGTTTCCTCTGTGGTCTGAGACTGAAGAGAGGAACTTGCCACAGCTGGCTTCTGAGGGGAGTCTGGAGATGCACTCAACTTGCTGGGCAAGAGGCTAAGGGCAGCTGCAGACAGCAGAGACTGTGCTTGCTCCCTAGCCACACTAGAGCAGCAGTCCTCAGACTTTGTGTTAAGAGTCACCTAGAGGCTTTGGCTTACTGCTTGTTTTCAACAGGGGTGGGACCTGAGAACCCATGTGTCTCCCAAATTTCCTGTACTGCTTCCTGTACTGCTGGCCAAGTTACCTACTTTGAAAACACTGATCTAAAGCCTAAAGGAGCAACTTCCTAACCACTTTGAGAATCCCAAGTTACAGACCAGCTTTTCAGGAATATCTACGTAGGAAAAACTTGCAGAAAATTGCAGAAGGGTTCACAAGGTACCCTGTTAGTTCATCTTTGAACTCCAGGCTAAGGCACTGGTTTCAAAGAACCCAGTTAGTAATGACCAAGGTCACATGGCTACAGCACGCAGGACATAGAAAGGGCAAAAGAAGGATGCCTGGTTAGCTGTGTTTCCGGGGGGAGAGTGAACGGGAAAGTTGCAGGTCCAACGAGAGCACATGACTCAGGGAGGCGGGAATGTTGCTCTGTAAGATACAGGTGAGAAACTTTACCAGCTTGTAGGCTCGTGGCAACCCCTTTTTGATGAGGTCCGAAGGTAACAGAGTCTCAAGACTTTCTAACACCTTGAGTTGTATCCCAAGCAGAACTCAGATACCCTAGGTTTGTTGAACATTACTTCTAGAAGCAGAATGAATACTGTGACTAACTCTATCAGGTGGGGTTATCCATTTAGATACTCATACAGGAAACAGACTCTAAGGAGACAGAGGACCCTATGCCATGTACTAGCTTCTCAGAACCCCGAGAGAAGGCATGAGACACCGAATCTGTGGGACAGTTCCATTTCTTGCCTGAGGGAAGAATGTGACAAGAGAAAGGCCACAGACAGAAAGGAAGTGGCTGTTGCTTGGATCTCAGTGGTACCTTTGCAAAACTGGAAACCTTGCCTTTTGGTTTGGCTGTTGCCTAGAACCGAAGAGTCACATTGAAAAACGATACTTACTAATATAAGATCAGATCACACATAGGGAATGCTGGACAGCCACTGCTTTTTTAGCCAGAAGTGTCTGAATTATCACCCTTAGAGTAGGCAGTAATGGTGGAGGGAACCATTTAGAGGGAGAGCATGTCAGACCTCACACATCATTAGGAATAAAGGATACTGGGTAGAACCAGAGCTCCTGGTTCCATGTTGGTCAGCTGTGGGGTCCTATGACTGAAGTGCAGCAGGAATCAGGTATTGTATATGCCTATAATCCCAGCAAAATCATTCTCAGGGTAGTGCACCTGTCACATAAGCTTGATGACCTGAGTTGGCTCCTAGGAGCTCATGGAAAGGTAGGAGATGAAGTGCAGCAGGCAGGATGGGGCAGTGTTCCCTGGACAGTAGGACTTATTTGCTCCATGCTTCTACTAGCACGCTGGAACCTACGGGGCAGCTGCTTCCAAGGCTTTGATGAAGGCCAAGGGTGTCCAAGAAGAACAGGACAGTGAGAAACAATTGTGATTCACAGAATCTGGCTGGTGCCTGCGTGGGTGGGTAGTGCTTTCTGAGCAGGCCTCGAGGGATAGAGGAAGGGTGTTCTGTGGTGAGCAGGCCTGCAGTTTGACCTAGAGCTCAGCTTGAATTCTGGAACTAGCACACAGTTTGGAATGGGAAGTGCTTAGGGGAAAGGATGGAGGTAGAAACTTGAACCCCTGGGGAGAATGTGTCTTACCTCTAAACAATGGAAAGTTTCAGAAGATGGGAGAATCAGCTACATTGCAGTTGGGTAAGAGGGCTTATGAACCTGCCAAAAGACCTTGGACCAGATGCATATAACTTTCACTCCTAGGCCTAGCCAGTGTAGCAGGTGACTTTGGATGAATCATTTACCTGCATTCAGCTGTGAAATGGGTAGAATAAAGCTTCCTTTGCAACAATTTCCCATGAATAACAGGGTTAAGCTCTAGGCCAATGATAAGCTCCAATCCTGTGAGCTGTAGGACATGGAGCTGTATCACTTGGTGCCAGTAGTGTCTTTCAGATCCCAAAAATGTCTTTAGATGTTGCCAATGTATTCTGAGGAGGGGACAGAATTGCCCTGAGGTGAGAATTGCTGCTTGTGGGTAGTTGGAAGGTTTTTTTTATAGCATGAGTGCAATGCCTGGTCAAGGGCTGGACACTGAGAGTGCTGAGCTGAGCCAGCTGCTCTGTCAGAGCAGAGAGGTGACCCCCTGAAGTCTCATTGTCATAGGCTAAGTGAAATGAGTGAGGACAGAGTAATGGCTGACTGGAGATATCAGATGAGTGGGCTTCCTAGGGTCTGCCCTCCCATAGAAGGAGGAGCACTGGCCAGGTATGGTGGTACATCTTACAATCCCAGCACTTAGGAGGACAAGGCAGGAGAATCGCCAGTGAGGGAAGCCTGGGGGTTGGGGTAGGGAACAGGGACCCCCCAAGACTTGTGCTTAGGTGGCCAAAAGGGCTGGGCTATAGGAAAAGAAGAGCTGGAGCCAGGCTTCCCTGCACCTGGGCTGCCGGCGGGTGTCCAGGGCACTGTCCCGAGCAGCAGAAGGAAACATATTCCAGATCTTTCCAGGGAAACTGTTCCTGCCAGTTGCTGGGAGCCCATGGTGCCTACTTTCCCTGAAGCCTTGAGGCTGACCCAGGTATAGTCATGTACAAGGCCTGGAGGAGAAACTTAAGTTAGAGACAAAGGGGGTACAAAAGATAAGAAATGGATCCTGGTGGCAAAACATCTGTGGCTCCTGAGGGTGTTGTCCAGGGGCATACTCTAGAAGAACCTCTCAGAAGCTGGTGGTACATTTTCCTTCCTGGCTGATCTTTATTAGAAAAAAAAACAGCAAAAAAAAGCCCAGCACTCCACTGTCTGTAGGAGCTGAGAACATGGGCTGAGAACATGGGCTGCCGGAGCTGGAGCAGAGGGTGAGCCCCTTGGTGTTGGCAGCTTCCTGTGCAAGGCTGGTCTTAGGGAAGATTCTGGCAGTCCTGTGGGCACTGGCTAGTCAACCAGCCCTAGCCAGGCCCACAGGGAGAGTGTGTCTTTGGGGGCATTGGAAGTTAGTTGGCTCATCTTTCTTGACATGGGAAGAGGTCTTCCAGGAGCATAAATGTTCTAGGTGCAGTGGTATGCATTGCTAGGTGGCATGGTTCTGTACCTAGGACATTTTGCTTAAGAAATGACGAACCACCCGTCGGACATCTCCCTTCTTCCCTCCTACTACTTCATATGAGGAAAAAAAAAAAGAGAGAGACAGAGAGAAACACCTGAGAGACCAAATAGAGGCCTCACACCCTCCTCCATCCAGTGCACAGAGGAGAGGACCCTACTTCCCATTCCTGCATCTTGCATCTTCCACCGGGAGTACCCGCTCCAAGTGAGCAGAGCGAGCGGCGGCCGCGCAGGGGACCGTGTGTCTGTGTGTGATGTGCTTTCATGCGTCACTCTATTTATGTTGTTCGCAGCCCAACGGTAGCGGCCAGGGCAAAGTCCCGGGGTCATTTTTGCTACCGCCGCCGCCTCCAGTGGCCAGACCTGTGCCCCTTCCTATGCCTGATTCCAAATCCACCAGCACTGCCCCAGACGGCGCCGCCTTGACTCCTCCATCACCTTGTAAGTGGACGATGAAACCGAAACCACAGCACCCAGCATCCCTGGCCCATCCATACAGTCTCCACTGCAAAAGAGGAGCAGCTCCCCCAACACCTCCAGAGCATCTTGGAGCCCCCCCCCCAACCTGGACAAGAGCAGGGCTGAGCCCTGACCATGGCCTCCTGGGCCTCAGTTACACCAGCCAGCACCCCGTGAGCCCTTTTCCGCTGCTCCCAGCAGGGCCCTGGCCCAGGCCCCCCTGGGGGGGGCGGGAGGGAGAGTGCAGTGGGGCACTGGGCCGGGGGTGCTGGCATGAGGGGGGCGGGGCGGGAGGCAGAGCCATGCCATCTTCATGCCCGATTGCTGGTTTTGTTTTTTTGGTTTTTGGTTTTGTTTTTCAAATTTTTTGTTGTTGTTTCGTTGTTCCCCTACACACACCAAGAAAATTAAATGTGACCACAAGGCGACGTCACCACCATCCCCTTTTTGCCTTGCCCTCACCTCCATCTGGCCCCAGGGCCTCTGAAGATGCAGGAGGCTGCCTCTGATCCTCTCTCCCTCAGTCTCCCATTTGGTTTCTCGTTGTTCCTCTTTTTTTTTTTCCTCCCCTCCTCCCCTTCCCCCAGCCCCAATTCCTTCCCCAGGTTGGATGTGTTACGGGCAAGAGAAGCTCTGGGCCTTAACTTACTTCATCTTTCTCCCTCTCTTCCTTCCTCCTTCCCTTCCTTCATTTTTTCCCTTTAAAACCAATGACAGATTTTGTCAAAGGGAAGAGAAGGAAAGTCTAAATGGAGAGGCCCCCAGGGAGACCCGACGTGAAGGACAGGAGAGGTGGAAGACAGGGTGGTGTGCTGTCTTGGGCTGGGACAGGGGTGGGCAGGACTCTGAGCTCGCACTGTGCAACAGTGGGCGGCAGGGTGGCCCATCTCAACACTGCTGTCTGTTCGCACTCTCTGTCTCCTTCTCTCCCATGGTTTGAGTTCTTTCCCCTCCCTACCCTCTCCATGCCATCTTCTCATCTGCATATGTCATAAGACATGAAGTCATGATCATAGTCACTGGAGGGGGGACAGCCAGACTAGAGCACTCTTGTGGAGAGAGGGGGACGGAATCTGGTGAACACGTCCCAGGTGTATCTGGTACACAACAGGGAGGGGTTAGGCTTCCCAGGCAACCTGTGACACTCCTTTTCCCTTTGGGGACATCTTTCCAACTGTTAGGTTCCCAACTGAATACCCCAGAATTACTCAGGGGTATTGAGTTCATTTGCCCCCTGAGGCATTGGACAGCTGCCCCCTAGGCAGCTGAGCTTTGGGGCTCTGTCTATGGCTTCCTCCACTGTCTCCTGGCCTGGTGCCCTGACCAGAAGAGAATGGTATGGGCCTGAGCCTTTCTACCTCAGAGTCAAATCAGGCAGCCAGGTCACAGGCTCTTCTGTAATCCCATCCTGCATGACTCAGTCCTCCATTGGGCCTTTGTGTGAGTTCCTTGAACCACTTGTCAATCTTTGGGACTGTCTGGGTAGCAAGTGATTTAGTACCCCCAGTAAGGCTGTGGGGCTGGAGAGGTGGCCTGCCTGAGAAGGCCATCCCCAGACAGGGTTGTCCAGGCCACCCAGCTCCCACCTTCTCACTGTCCCTCTTCAAGGAGGAAAGCTTGGGTCCCCCACCAGTGCGCCCCTGGACTGGCTCCAAGGTCATTCCCAGTCTGACCATTCTCTCAATAGGGGACAGAACTGGGTCCAAGGGACTTCAGCTGCAGCATTGGGGGCCCTTCATTACTTTAGCCTTGGAAGCCACCTGACAGGCAGGGAGGTGTGTACGTGTTCCTGGTCAGTGAGGGGAAGGGCCCTGGTAGGCTCCACTCAGGTGGAGTCTGGCCTCCCGCACTGTAGCCCCTCACCCATCCTTACGTTGCCAGCCTACCCTGCAACACTTCTAACTCAGTTTCTCCCTCTCAGCAGCCCAGAAGGGTGGTGCCTGGGGGGCCCTACAGCCTGACTGGGTCTCTCCCTCTCTCCCCTGCTCCCCACAGCATTCGCAACGACAGGCGCCTCCTCTGCCAACCGGTTTGTCAGCATCGGACCCCGGGACGGCAACTTTCTGAACATCCCACAGCAGTCTCAGGTAGGAGACACCTGGATACAGGCAGAGGGGCAGATAGGGGGGACAGGCATGAGGAAGGAGGTTGGAGTCCTGGAGCTGAGCAGGAAGAGGGTTGTGCTGAGCTATATGCCCAGGCTTCTGCCCAGCAGAGTAGCCTCCCCAGGCAGCTCCAGGCTCCCTGGCTAATCAGCTAATTGGATAATTAGTTCTGACAGCTCTGGCCCTGGGGAAGGCAGCCCAGGACCCAAGGCTAGATGCCTCTGGGTCAGCCTAGTAGAGCAAAGATGGAAACCTGAGGCACAGACACGAAGGACAGCCCTGCCTCCTCTTGCCCTCCTGCCCTGCCCTGTCCACCCTGGTCAGCCCAGGGAAGCCCTAGTCCTGGCCCTCCCGGTTTCCCTGGCTTTGGGTGGGTTGGATGAAGGGTAGAGGAGAGACAGAGTAGGTCTGGTGAGCTATATACCCAGAGACCAGCATCAAGGCCAGGGCTGACTGCCACTCTGGGGGAGGCCCCTCCCCCAAGACCCCATGAGTCCCTTAGGAGGAAAGTCAGGCTGCTGGAGCGCCTAGTCCCTGCTGGCATTACCCCCACTTCTTATACAGAGACAAGTCAAACTTGTCCTTCAGCACAAGGTGCATTGTGCACACATGGGTGTCCCATGTGTGTCCGGAGAGGGTAAGAATAGCAGGCAAAAGCCAGGGCCCTTGGAGCACGGAGGACCCACCTTAGGAGCCGGCCAAGGGCAGCTTTAGAGGGCCAAGGCTTTCAGAGTGTAGGGTTTCAGAAAAGAGCACACAAATATCCTTTTTGCACATTTTACAAAAACACCTCCTTACAGGCTCCCTGAGCCCTGCGAAACCCACCCCTGCTCAGAGCCCCAGGGCTGCCTCTGCTTGTTCCTGCCCCACCTCTACGGAGGCCCCAGTCCAGAGAAAAAGGTTGTGGATGGAAGGTTTGTATGTATGATTTGA